CCAATTGAAAAGCTGCATTAACTTTCATTCCATCTCGACCATTTCTGAGATATCACAACTAGGGCTTCCAAACATAGAGCAATCACTTTACACTGGATTCATCATGAAAGTTATTTTTCAGGGGAAACATTATCTGGACACAGCTTCTAGAATATGAGGGTTTTCGGCTTTTTCTTTATATTCTGCATTTCATATTTTGGGGTTTTATGGACTTTAGGGAAATCAAACCAATGCAATTTGAAGATCTAACTGTGCATGGGCTCTAATTTGAGAATAGTGAACAGATAATATAATTGTTATTTTCAGTCCTAACCTCCAGTAGAAAGATAATTGGATTTTGAAGCTAATATTGATACTGGTGGTAAGAGGACACATCTCCACAGAACCTGCGCAGAGACCTCCTGTAGCTGATGGGGAACCAATAGGAGGAAGTGAAAGCTCAGTGTGAGTAACTGGGGGTGGGTCACATACACTATTTCCTATAAATCAGGAAAAGACAATACAATGAATGTATTTTCTTATAGTGTTGAGTCAGGCCAAAGATGGACATCATGACACAGCAAAACATGTCTGGTGTAAAGGAGCTACAGATTAACTGAGATGGAAAGTCCTTGACTTTACGACCAGAGGATAAGGAGATCACTTATGATGAAAGAAACGCCATGGTTTCTTCTATTAGTCTAAGTAAGCACAGTAACCGTCGCTTTCTGCTTTCACATTACTTAGGACACACACACACACACACACACACACACACACACACACACACACAATATTATCTCTATATACTATTAGCGGAGGTTTGTGATTCAATCTTAGTATCTTATATCATGTTTGGGTGTTCTTCATGTTTTTCACTTCTAAAGTCATACTGTTATATGTTACATGTTTTATGGGGTGTCTAATTTCGTTCCCTGTCTCTATTTTTCTTTGGCAGAACATGTGATGGAGTGTCGAGCTATAGTATTCTTTCTTTTTTGTCGTCACAGTTCATTAAGTATCTTTGCTACTTTAGTCCACATGTTTATTATATTGGGAAAACCTTATCGGCAAGTTTGGATCCGTCGTATAATTTCTTCAGGTATGCGCTCGTGAAGTAAGACGTCCTCTTTCGTCGCTTGCTGCTATGACATTTGTCGCAATAAGATGAAGTGAGTCGACCTCGATGTCATCTAGTTCCAGTTAGTAGTAACTCATGTTTCTTTCTTATGCTTTATGTAACATGCTCCTCTTTATTTGGTTTTTTTGTTCGTCTCTACTATCTCTACAGTCCATTCTCTGAGTCAATCGTTCACACGACGAAATAGGATATAATGTTCAATTTATCTGGGTAGGCGGGGAGATGGTCCTTGTCCCATCCACGGTGACTCGTGATGACTAGGTTGCCGAGAGAATTTGCCAAGACTATCCACACACACACACACACACACCACCGCACACACACACACCACACACACACACTACACACCGATCACACCACACACCACGACATCACAACACACAGTACACGTTCTTGTCCCCGACACCACACAGCACAACACATCCTTATCATCGAATTATACTAACACTAGACCTACTACATTACGACAGGCACACACGACACACACACCACAC